AATTATCAAGTGTTCATGAGGGAAGGGGGAGTGGGGAGATTGGGGGAAAATGAGCTGATATTAAGAGCTCAAGTAGAAGGCAAATGTTTTGAGAATGATGATGGCGACAAATGTACAAATGTGCTTAACACATGGATGTATGGATGTATGGATTGTGATAAGAATTGTACAAGCCCCCAATAAAATGATTAAAAAAAACCCCACTCTATGATAAATGTACCAGGTGTAGGCCTTGGGAGGTCAGTGGGAGTAAAAGGAATATGGAAAATCTTAATTCTTGCACATTTGATTTCTAGTTTTCTAAATAATAACCTTGATCCAAAGTCCTATTTTCAACATCAGAAGCTTATTTTTAATTTTTTCTTTTCTAATTCCTGCTTTAATAGTCCTAATCCCACCCTATATATACCACCCTTGGGCAAATTAATATTTCAGGAACTAAGAAAAAAATTATATATATATATGTATTTATATATATATATGAAAATACAAAAGAGTAAAGCACATCTACATATTCCACAAAAATTCGAGTTACATATATATACACATAAGTATATATTATTTTTAATGAAAATCATTTATATTAGTTATCTATTAATACGTAATAAACTATCCCAAAATTAGTGGCTTAAAACAAGGAATATAACATTATTTTGCAATTTCTACGGGTCATGAATTTGGAAGTGACTTATTTAACCGGGTGACTGGTTCAGAGTCTTTCTTGAGATTACAGTCCAGAAGACCTGTGGGCTACCATCATCTATAAACTTGACAAAGGACAGCCTTCTTGGCTGTTGTCTAAAGAACTCAATTTCTTACCACCTGGGCTTGTGCTCCTGACACTAGCTTCTCTCAGAGAGAGTGAGAAGAGAGAGCTAGCAAAAAAGGAAGCCATGGTGCCTTTGGCGTTCTAGTCTCACTCTACTGTCCCTCCTCCAGTCTTTTTCATTTGAATAAAGTCCCTAAGGCCAGTCCACACTCCTCCTCTTAAAGGAAGTGTCAAAGAATGCAGGGACGTGTTCAGCCACCACAGCATTCAAAATCACTCATTGACCATTTTCTGCGTGCGAGAAGGCTGACCTGGGGTATAGCAATAACAACAAAAAGCAGAGCTTGCTTGCATGATGGAGTTCAACGTCTGGCAGGTAAATGATCAAGAAAAGATGCAATTACAATTCACTAAAATACAGGTCCTAATTTTCTCCATGCGACTTGGAGGACAGTATGTGCTTCAGGTAGTTCAGCAAATGTGTTAAGCATTTGAGAACGGAGACTCAACAAGCAGACTGACTATGTTCAAACCCAGGTCTTCTCCTTCCTGACTGTGTGACCACAGACCAGTAACTTAGCCTGTCTGTCCTGCAATTTCTTCATCTGTAAGATGGGGAGATAATCATACCTCCTTCCAGATCAGGGCCTTTGTAGATTAAATGAACTAGCGTATGTGAAAGCCTTTAAAAGAGGTTGCAACACAGCTAATGTTGGTTTTTATCACACTGTAAATGGCACACTGCTTCAAAACTGGAGGGTATTATTCTAATTTTTGAGATTTGATACATATATTTTTGAAAATTAAATGAACTTTCTTTGTAATTTAATTTTAATGGCATAGTTGTACTTTCTTTTCTTTTAAGCATTTAAACTGTAGTAAAATGTGCATGTCACTTCTCACCTCCACCCCCACCAACTCATCAATCCCACTTCCTTCCCCAGTGAAACCGCTCTAACACATTCAGGGGTATTCTTTCAAAACTTTCTAAAAACCTATTTATAAGTTACACTGTTTTAAAATATTTAGCAATGTAATCGTACTATAATTATAATCTTGCTATTTCACTTGCCTTTTTAACTTAATAATTGAATAGACCTTTTTATGCTTGTCAATCGAGCTTGACATCACCCCTTTTCATGAATGTCCACAGTGACGCAGAGTGGACACACAGTGCAGCTGCTCAGAGCAGAATGGCCCTATTTGTCAAGGGCTTCCACGTTGTCCACTTTTGCAGGATTCAGTCACGACTCTGCTATCTCTGTTTATTTCATGGAAAATTGGATTTGAGCTCTCCTTCCCTGACAGCTTCCTCCCTGACGTAGGGATTAGCTTTCGAAGGTTCTTTTGCACTATAGATTCTTCAACCATTCCTCTATTGATGGATATTTAGGTTGTTTCAACATTTATTATTATAAGCAGTTGTGAAATAGACTTTCTTATAAATACAGAGTTTAAGCACTTTATAGCTTCCAAAGATTGCATGAATATATATCTCCATTGGTTAAACTTTAACCCATTTATTTACAATCAGGAATATAACCTTGTATCTCCTCAGGAAAAAATCATAGCACTATTGAGTGACTATGGCATCCGTGGAGAATCTCCGCCTTTGGTCACAGCATTAAGAACTCTTGGTCTCCATCCCACTGAATATTTTTGATTCAGGTCTGTTGCCCGCCTCAGTCTGAATTTGCTGGGGTTGCTGCTGCCAAGCCCATAGCTCCGCATGTGGCAGAGTAGAACGGCACGTTTCCTCGGCTGTAATCTTTATATAAGGTGTGGTTTTGTTTGTGTTGTTTTTCCTGTCTTCTCTGTGGGTGCAGATGTTCTTTTGAGCCACTGGGTGAATAGGAACCGCCGACCTTGCAGTTAGCAGTTGGAAATGTAACTGCTGTGCCATCAGGACGCTTTAATTTAAATAAAAAGACAAGAACACTCATCTATTTATTTTACTTTGGACAAGAATATTCAGACCAGGGATTTCTGCAATGTGGCCTCGACCTATTTCTCCAACTTGACCTCTTAGTAGTTTTGTACAATTTTGCACATCTAGCAAGTTGTTCTACCCCATGTCACAAGAGCGCATCCTACACATTCCCACTTTGAAGTGTTTGCCTCGGCCCTTTCCTTGCTGGGGAAGGCCTTCCTGTTTCTCTCTGCTTTTTTCAGGCACAGTAGGAGAATTGCACGGTCCGTCCATCCCAAGAGGTGGCTTCCGAGTTTCCTACCATGATCACAAGTATTTGGAACAGGAATTGGCACCAGTCCCAAGTTATTGCCAATCACAGTTTCCCCCCTGAGAATTCAGAATTGGGACTATGCGAAGGTCAGACTCCCTCAAGGTGGCCAAACGTGTCGGCATGGGAGCTATGAGGTGAATATTTGATTCACAGGCCAGAGGTGCAGCAAAAGCTGGCTGGCAGAGACAGAAATATGAAATAGACTAGCACAGAGGAGACCAGTGTCCGGTCTGGATATTTTCCTAGTGTACAGCAACTGGGTCTTCTTCCTTCATGGGACCTTGTTAAACTTCTGCCTTGGATTTCATCAAATACTTGTCTACTTAAATTGGTTTTCCTATTTGCATTGAAAAAAACTGTGAAAAAAAGTTTTTAAGAAAAATGAATGTGTTGCTGCAGCGGGGGAGGCGGCAGCAGAGGCAGCGACGGCGGCTACAGACGGTGGCCGAAGTTCTGAAAGGATTGCCCGTCCACAACAAAAGCAATCTTAGCCGATTCCATGCTGACTCTGTGTGCAAAGCCTCGAACAGACGGCCCTCAGTCTACCTGTCCACTCGGGAGGACCCCTCTGAACAAATAATTGTGACCGAGAAGACCAATATCCTCCTGCGCTCCCTGCACCAGCAATGGGACAAAAAGAACGCTGCCAAGAAGCGAGATCAGGAGCAAGTGGACCTGGAGGGCGAGAGCTCAGC